TATACAGCAGATCAAACATGAACTCATGCTATGCTACTGACCTCAGGAGATTACACTGACTGAGATTCTGATGACTGACAGGTAGCAGACATCCTGATGTTGAATTCTCCCCAAACAGTACTGGCTTTTTCTCAGCAGTGGTACAGAGTCCATCACTCACTGTTAGCCAGATCAGAAAATGGTAATCCTTCAGTCAACTTATTTTGACTTCATTTATGTAATTCACTATTACACTATATGCTGCAAGCCAGTAATCAACAGCACGACTTAATGGGTTTTACCTGGTTTCCAAAGATTGATTGATGTCCTCTGTACTGAGCCTGTATTATTGGCGAAAGTGTCCATAATTCCAGTAATAACAGGCCTTCCCACCTGATAACCTATTATTTAAAATGTCTGTGTTACCCACCGTAACAGGTATTGTGAACTGTTTTCTAAAAACAATTGACTTCCACAGACATTCACAGGACAAATTATGTTATCTTATACTCACCTGGGTTCCCTGAGTTGGACTCACCCATGAATTCTCCATTTAGAAACACAGCAGAATACTTTGCAGTTAACATCACTGTGCAGGAAACAGGATATCAAAAATCTGCCCGCTTTGACTGGTGATAAGCCAAATAATGAGCAAGTGTTAAGGACACTTACCACTACCATTTAAGATGATAGTCCCAATGGTGCGTGTCAGTGTGATCCTTGTGATGCCATTTCCTTTCCAGTAGAACATGTAATCTAATGCTAAGGTCACATTCTCACATACCAAACTTTCATCTTCAGAGACATATTAACACATTCTTAAGGTTAACAGTCAATTTAAGTTGTTGTTATTTTAAGAAATAATACATTATAATCTCCTTACTTGAAGAGCCAGAAACATTTGTACTTGAAACAAACTGACTCATGTCAATGGCCACTTCATCAATTAGGTCTACTACAGCATTGCCTGTAATATATATAAAAAAAATTAAATAAGTAAAAATGAAAGACATGAATTCAAAGTACTACAGAACAGGTCAAAGCACTGCTACAATATGTTTAGAAGGTAAAACTTACCTCCTTGCCCATTCTTCACATTAATCATCAAATCTGTTGGTGGTGTCTGCAAGGGAGGTCCAGCTGGACAGGAGTGTAGCAAAGTTGAACAGACGACTTGGATATTTTTCAAAAATGCTACAGGTGCACCATTTACACACTGCCCGAGCACCTTCTGTGGAACATAAACACACAAGCCATTAGTTGTTCATGCTTTGGCAATGTAAAATATAACCTCAAAAGACTGTACTGACAATCAACACACAGTACACCAACTGACCTGCGGAATAGTGAAGTACTGGTCATTCAATGTAAAAATGGGACTTCCTTCATAATAAATACTAGCGGGCACTGGAGCTGACAAAACAGGCATTTGGAAGGACGGACCAGGCTTAGCTGTACTAAGCAAATGAAAGCACAAAAATAAATAATAACATGACAAAAAAACTAATAAATGAATCACAAAACAAAACAATCATATTAAAATATTTCTCACATTGTGTCTCCCTGGTAAAAAAGACCGAGATTTGGGTTGTTTTCAGGTGGTGAATTAACACATAAAAATGGAAACCAGTCAGGGGAGTTTTCAGAGGACTGCACAGAGCACTGATAGTGTGGAGGAGGGGAGACCTGTCCACCAAAGGGCCCTGGGATACAGTGGGACACAAACAGCTTCAGAGCTCCACTGGAACAGTCCTGACAGAGAGAAAGATAAATAAGCCATTGCTGATTAAGACATAGGAAAACACATTTGCCTAAAATGGACAGAAGAAATAAATGTCACTGATGTGAATACCTTATCACAGCAGCAGCGTGCATCACATTTTCTGAATGTGAGATCACAGGGACAAGAGCCCAGTGGTTGGTACACCTGATTTGGAATAACAGTTTGATTACCTGGAATGGATAGGAGATTTCTGTTTATTATAAATGTTGCACTCTTAGCATCAGGCCAATTATGATGAAATACAACTGTCACTGAATTACCAGATCCAGCATTAGCAGGAACCAACAGGGCATTTATCTTGGCCTGGATGAGCAGTGATGCCTGAGGTGTGTCTCCCAAACAGGCAGATACCTGAAGTGTCTCCAGGACACACAGTGGCTTTGCACAGCAGTCTGTGCCTGTCTCATTCTTACCACACAAATGCAGACTTTTATTGAGTTTCAGCTGAACCTGAACAGCAGTCTGGGGCACCCAAAGAAACAAAGGCATGAAATAAAAATGGATGTTCACATTATAATATCAGTTAATTGTAGGAGATTATGGCCTCTTATTTCAGCATTCATTGTAAAATAGACTTTACCTTTCCCACCTGTTGCGTTGTGAGCAACCACTGTGTTACCTCAGTGACACATGATGGAGAACTGAAGCTCCCTGTTAAAGAAAACAAGCCATCATCCATCCATCCATCCATTATCTGTACTGCTTATTCCTGAATCGGGTAAATGGGGGGGGGGGGCCCGGGGTGGGCTTGAAACCGAAACCTTCTTGCTGTGAGGTGACAGTGCTAACAACCTTGCCACTATGCCACCCAAACTAAGCATCACTAACCACCAAATCTGTCAAAATGACAAAAGACTACACAATCAAAATGAATCCACATCATTGCCTTCTGTCGCTCTTTTTAACCAGAGAATGTTACAGTATATTCTGGCAACTAAGATGAGCCTGCTTTGTGGTACTGAAAAACCTGAGCCCAAAAATAGCTGGATGAACCACTAATCTGTCATTTTCAGTGCAGTCTTATGTAGACTGCCATGCCCAACTACTTGTATAGTATGAGAAGAGTCAAACAATGGCAGAACTACTTCTGAAGTTCAAACTATTAGTTGGCAGTCTGCTTCCAAAAGGAGATTGAAATTGTTGAAGCTATGTGCTGTATTTTAGATGTTTTTAAGCATAAACATTACACTCCACTCCAAATGAACACTTGAAGTAACAGTAAAACAATGGAAAAGATGAATTGTTGCTTGATGTATTGCTGTTTTCTCAGTACTCGAATAAAATGTATCTATGCTGAATATTCAGAAACAATTCAAATAGAATGTATCTTTTGTTATTGCGTTATTGGGTGTTTATCTTATTAAAATATCACCCAAACATGTCGTGTCAGTTTATTGTGGTGCTCCTGGTGACTGACCTGTTGTATTGGATGGAGATACTGTCCTCAGATTCAAAGAGATGTCCGACGTGTTTCCAAGAAGAAATGCAGATACCGTCGGTCCAGTTACAGTGAGATAGGACGGCTGGAAAACTGTTGAATATAACACCCACATTAGTTAGCTGCATATCATTTTAGCTAATAAGATCGATTTAAAATGAATATAACTTATTTTGCAGCTGAGAGAACACTTATCTAGTGTTAGCTCTTTGCTAGTTTCCTGGCTAGTTAGCTGGGTATCCTAAGGTAACGTTAGCTAGTTTCATGTAAAACTGGATGAATTGTGCGTATTTAAGTTGTCTTACCAAGATTGTTTTGAGTGTGAGCCAAAGAAAAGAACAATAAAACGCATATGACCTGGCGTGTAATTGACAAGGCAAAGAATATATCCACTACGTTAGCCATTCAGATTACAAAGTCGACATATTTGTAAACTTTGTGATGTCTTGGCAACATCTTGTTCTGGGGAAACAGGAGAACCAAATTATTCTTTAATGAACAACAGCGACACCATCTAGTCTGGAGTGGTAGATATAGTTAAGTACAGTCTATCATAGCAAGATGGCTCATCACTACTGTGCAAGTTACAGCCAACACAGTGTTGACTGCTTTTATTTGAGAATTTTGTTTTTGTGTGGATGCTGTGAAGCATCCACACTATGCTCTTCTGTTCTTTATTTATTATTATTATTCTGGGATCTTCCACCCTTTTTTGGCACTTAACGAGTCCAGCATACTTTCAGCGATACAGGCCATTATATATGTGTATGTGTGTGTGTGTGTGTATATA